ACAGCTGATTCGAAGTTACGGCCTTGATCTGAATGCAGTTCATATAGCATACCAAATCTGAAGAAGAAATCACTAATAGCTACAGTTGTAGCTTCCTGATTTAATATTGCAATTTGATATTGCAGGCCACTTGGTGAAATCATCCATCACCACACAAATGTACTTGTTTCCAGCACGAGTTTGGGGCAGAGAACCAGCAATGTCAATGGCTACTCTTTCCATTGGTGCGCCAACTTGATATAACTTCATTGGAGCACGTCCCTTATGCTTGGGTCTCCTTTTAGCACACCATATACTGCATGTTCTGCACCATTTCTCCACATCTTGCCTCATACCTGTCCAGTAAAATCTCTGTTGTAGGTGACTCAATGTCTTCTTAACTCCGAGATGTCCTCCTGTTTGCCAGGTCTTCACTTTCCCAGCTGCACTTTCCCATCTCTGGAGAAGAATACCATCCTCAAGCTTCAACTGGTCCCATTGTGCCCAATAGTTCTTTGACACAGGGCTTAGACTACACACCTTCTGCCAAGCAGGGCCCAAAACACTTGCTTTTAGAAAATCAGTTATTGGCTTCAAATCTTGGTCTTACTCCTGCTCTGATTTAATATCTATATTTGGTTCCATTTCACCATCATCAACTCCTTCAGTCACTTTGAGTTCAGCTTGATGACACCTGGTTAGCTCAACCTCTCTTTTGCAGCAATGTCTGCAGTCATATTTGCAGGGTCTTCGGCTCAGTCCATCGGAATTTCCATGAGATTTTCCTTCTCTGTATTCAATATCATAATTATACTGGTCTATATTTCCGATCCAACGTGTCAGTTGTCCCTCTGGGTTCTTTAATGATCTTAACAAGGGTAATGCAGCATGGTCTGTCATGATGGTAAACCTTGCACCATAGAGGTAAGGATGGAAATATGTCAGACTCTTTACTATAGCAAGGAGTTCCCTCCGAGTTACACAGTACTTCCTCTCTGGTCTACTTAAACACCCTACTGAAGTAGGCCACCACATGTCCGTTTTCGCCCACTTTCTGACACAACACTCCTCCAATTCCGACATTACTAGCATCACAATCCAGTATGTA